TATGGTTGGAAAAGATCTTCAAGATTATGAAGTCCAACTGTAAACCCGTAATCAGCTAAACCATGTCACTAAGTTGCCATAACTCAAGTGGCCTTGCCCGTGGTGGGGTATCCTTCATCCAGGGGGTCACATGTGACTTCTATACAAGTTATATCCCAGTGTCACGCTCAGCGAGGGCCTAGTTTGCAGATAGGAAAACGAAGGCAGTGGCTCCTAGGTGTCCTTGGGCAAAGACCCTGAAGTCCTCTCTGGTGACTCCCATAGCAGGGTGCTCCCAAGCCACTCTGAGAGTGTCCAGGGGCTACGCTCCATTGAGGTGCTTTGGTAGCCGGTGGCCGGTGCTCGGCCCCCTTCTACTTACAGCCACCGCATAGCGGGTGACGTTGTCCTTCTCGCTGTCCTCGATCACCTTCTCCAGGTCTGGGCTGTCGTGCGACTCTCCATCTGTGATTACAATCATTACTCTCTTTGCCCCTTTCCGGCCACCTTTCTGAAACGCTTCCGAGCTGCAAGTGAAGAGATGCCCCGGGCTGCTCAGAGCCGCCGGGCGGGCTGCGGTCCCTCACCGCGGCCCCCGCCATCCCGCATGGACCATGCCCATGGTCCCACGTCACCCATCCAGGAGAAGCCAAGGGACCCCGGGGTCTGGTGGACCTCCACAGGGGACCTTTCTGCTGGGGGACCTGGCTTCTTTTGGGTGGGAATCCTCTGTTTGAACTCGATGCCCCAGATCTGCACCAGGAAAAGCAGCCAGGTTCTGCCTGGGGGTTACAGTGGGAATTTGCACGAAACAGGCATTTTTCCCCCCAAAATGGGGAGCTGGAGCTGTGGTTTGGGGCTCCAAGCTCCCGATTACTCAGTGTGGGTGTGAAGACGAGCGGAGCCCCTAGGCTGGGGCACATGAGAGGTGGCATTCGGAAGGGCTGAGACCTCAGAAAGGTGGGAGGAAGGAAACCAAAAGCAGAGGATGATCTAAAACCCATTAGCAGAAAGCAGGCCGAGGCGAGCGGTTTTACCGGGCGAACTCTATGCCGTAGGCTGTCCGGGTCTCGGTGCCGCCTCTTTGCTCGATGTGACTGGCAGCTGCTACCACGTCTTTTACAGACCTGTAGTCATTTAAGTGAAACTCGTGGACGACGTCTTCTCCATACTGAACAACACCGACCTAGGGAGTAGAGGGGCATTACAAAGGGATAACAGATAATGGATAATGGATAGTGGATAATGGATAACCCCATGACGGGCAACACGAGGAGGATGGGGAGACCTTCACAGCTGCAGTCAATCGTGCCTGTATGGGATTTACTGCTGCATTTCCCCATGATTTCATCCTCCCCGGGCCCAGCCAGGGTGTGGGTCGCTCCTTTCTCCATAGCTCATTTAGGGACATGCATTATTTCCACGGGCTTGGCTTTAAAATACATATGTTGGGAGTTTATTTTGAAAAAGCATGGTGCCAAGCTACAACAAATTGGCAGCAAAGTGACTTTGAAAAAGGCTTGGGGAATGTGCACGACACGGAGAAGCGTAGCAGAAGCGCAGACGCGCACAGAAGCACACAAGTTGCGCATGGGCTTACTTGAATCTGTCCGGGGCCAATATAAAATTTTTTCAAGATGTTTATCAGGAAGTGCTGAACTTCAACCCAAGGGTAGATGCTGTTTGATCCATCCAGAACTATGATTATGTCCATGTACGTCTGGCATCCTGTGAGAAATACACAGTGGGTTACTGAAAGACCTTGGCAATGCTTGCAACGGAGAAATTTATGGCCCGATTCCTTACTGTCAGGTACTTGCTCTTATGACTTGTTTAAAAAAAAAAATCTTATTTCAATCATTCACAAAGACCTTCAGGTCGTATTTGCTTCAACAAGACAGGAAGAACCCACATGCATCCTCTCTGCTACAAAAAATATGGAAAAATCTTTAAGAATAACACTTGGCCACCTGGTGATATCTCCTCCGATTCAGATACAGACCTCCATCCGGGCTAATGCAGCAGGAGACCTCTCTTCCCATTGCCGTGCAGCCTTTACGTGTGCAAGCTCTCATTAAAATCCCCATATGGTCTAGGCAAAAACCCCATCGAGAACCCTAGGACGCAGCCCAAAACAAAGAGCTGCAAAGGATTTAGGAAGCTGACTGGAGATTATTCAATGTCATCTCTCTTTCTTGCTTTTGTTTTCCTAATGGTACTTTGAGAAGATGCAGGAACCCAGAAGATGTTGAGATTTGCAAAGACACAGCTCGGTCCCCAGGCTCACTGATGCAGCCATGGAGCGGCTGGTCCATGCAGATGCGGTTGCACGTTGGGATAACCTACGGTCGGCAGCGGGATGACACGAGCGGCTTCAAACAGCACTTTGAACTCAAGACCACGACCCGGAAAGAAGAGCACGCTGAGTGATGCATGATGCACAGCACGTGTTAACCTTCTGCCTCCCAAAGAACCAGCAACCTTCACAGCGAGGGCTAAAAAGAAGCACGTGCTGGGGTGGGAAGGAAGGAAGTTATACATAAAACCAATCAAAACCTCTGCCCAGTGGCAGGTGCTGCCTCCTTGTCCCGCAGTGAGGATGATGGGGCTGGTGGCCATGGGGCTCTGCTGTGGCTGTGAGAGCCCTTTGAGCCCAGCCTCTCCAAGGACCAGCCCCTGCGATGTCTCAGCACCTTCAGCAAAACCAGGAGGCTCATTTAAAACCTCCGAATAAAACCAGGCCCTGGCTTTATGCACCCGCGTTTACAAATTTGGGCCAAGAGGTTCAGCTTTCAGTCAATGAGCTCTTTGTGTTGTGCAGCCAGGGGGTGAATTCTTGCCCTATTTTGCCTTGCTAACTGTGCTGATAAAATATTCTGGATACTTTTATTTCTCTTCTTGGAAGAATAAGGTATTTTTTGTCTTCCCGGGGTGTCAATCAAAAGGAAAATGTTTACCAGATGTCCGCGTACGCAACTCCCTTTGAATTGCTTTCCTGCAATAATTTCCTCTGCTATCTTGCCTCCTTCTAAATACGGTCGTTGCTTTGTTTCCTCAATGGCACTGGAGCGATTAAAGAGGAAAAATACTCTCTAACTTCAAAAGCCAGCTTTGCGTTAGAGGCTACAAAGCAGATTGTTTCTCATACTCTGGAGAGCAGGAGCCACGGTCTTGGAGAATCTGAAGTTGGAGTTCACCCTGGAGCACATTCCTGTGGTGTAGTAAGAGCTCCCGCACTCGTGGGACCAGAGAGGGCTGCAGGCCTATAAAAACGGGGGAAAACAGAGCATCAGCGGCAGTCTGAAAACTGCCACTTATGGAGCCGTCGCTTCAGAGGTGCTAAAGAGCAGCAAATGAGGTTTGGCATGAATGCGTGTGCATATAACATTTTCATGCATTTGTGCCCGTGTTTTTGTATAACTTTATGCATTTGTACTCACGGAAAAGCCTTGGCTCCTTGCATGGCAAGGGAGAGCTATTGCAAAGTCCTGTTTCTTACCAGGAAGCTGCTGTCCTTGGGGTTGGTGGCCAGGCTCAGCCCCAGGCGCATGTTGTCCTTCCGCTCGGAGACGTTGGAAAGCGTCACTCTTCCTTCAGAGAGGAGAGGGCCGTTAGCGGCGCCGGGACCGAGCACAGCGCTTTGGGCGACTATGAAAATCCAACATCCATCATTCCCCCAGTCTCCCTGGAGCGGGCAGGGATCCAGCTGCAAGCCCAGGGATGGCTCAGCCCTGTTTACATTGCAGTGCTTGTGCCCAGCTGCCCTTTGAAGCTGCTGTCAAGATAAGATTTTTTTGTTTCCCCTAAATCCCATAATCAACAAAGAGAAACAAGCCTTCTAGGGGATGAAATAGTAAGTCGGAAGCTACATTTCCTATGTAGTAAATCTTTGGAAATAACACCCGGGCGGCTCTCACATCTCCTCTTTAGCGGCTTTTTACACTCAGTCCCAGATTTACAGCTGTGCATTTCTTCCATTCCTCTTGTCTAAATCCCAAAACCGGGAACGGCCCACAGGGCAGCCTTTTATTTGGATTAACATTAATATCTTTTAGCTTTAACAAAAACACTGTCTGCTCCATCCGTTCTTCCAGCACGGCTTCATCAGGACACCAAAACCAGCTTAGCCCATGTTGGCTGAGAAAAAAAAAAAAACTCAGGGGAAGAAATTGGTCACTTTATAGTATTTTTTTTTTGTCTGAGTCCTTTGAAAGTTCCTTGCTGAGGTTTAAACCAAGAGAAGGCTTAGCCCTCAAATGCAAACCTGGACCCACAGTGCGAGGGAGGTCAGGCCATGCTCAGCATCCCGACCTGGGGGGCGCAGTCCTGGACCAGTCCTCTCCCAAAATTCTCCAGCTTGGGGAAAGCTCCCAAGCTCCTTCCTGCATCTCACTTGTGCCTCCCGATGAGCATCCTGAGGTCATTTCAACATCAAAGCTTCTTCCTATTCAACTGGATGGTTTTTCCCATTCAACTGGAAGATTCTTCCCATTCAATTGGAAGTTTCTTCCCAGTCAATTAGGAGCTTCTTCCCATTCAGCTGGAAGGGTGTCTGCTCGCAACCCATCATCCCCAGAAGCTCTTGCAGCCCCAGCTGGAGGTCCACCACATTCCTACATGGTCAGACCCACCGGGCAGGGGGGCCAGGCCCCCCGGTCCAGGAGCTATGGGGAGGTGAGGATGGGGGGCCACCAGCATCTCATACCACCTCTGTGCCTGACCTCCCAGGGGCAGCTCCACATCTGGCTTCACTCAAAGGCTCTCAGTAGACTGTGTTAATCAGAGAAGCTAATTAAAAATAAAAAACCTATGTGCCCATGGGGTAGATCTTCTCATTCAAGATTTGTTTCTAATGGGAAAAAAAAAAAATCCTTCCTGGAAAAATTCAGATTTACACACAGAAGAAATTTATTTCCTTAAAGGATTTTGGTGTTGCCATTAGAAATAAAAGAAAAATGAAAGCTGAATGGTTTTGAACAAAAATAGATTTGGCTCCCGTTTTTTTTTTTTTCACTTTCAGTTCAGGGATATTTTGAGCGAGCCAAAGCTCCTGCTGCCTTATCAGATTTGAAACCCGGAATACACCACATTAATAACAAAGAAAAATTAAATGACAACTCCACAGCTGCTTTTCCCCAAAAACCCAGATGATGCTGCTCGAGACTAGTCCCGATCAATCAAAACAAGTCAGGCTATCATAAATATACAGTAAAGCATAGTAAGTACTAATGCATTTTTATTTTATCCCAAGTTGCTTGACTTTTGATGTATCCTGAAGCCCAACACCAGGAGTGCGGTGAACACCTAAAAATCCCTCCTAAACCTGCTACCCCTGGGCTGTCAGAGCAACGGGGTCTTCAGAGCCCAGGGAAAGCCCATGTGCTCCCCATGCCACCAAAGTGCCACCCTCCCGTGTCCAGCAGCCTGACCCCACGCGGTTGGTACCTAGATTGAGCTTGGTGCAGTTGCTGTGGGTGCTGCCGTTCACTGGGCACTTGTAGACGTCCCCCGTCTTCTGCTGCCCGTTGGTTTCGTAAGGGGCTCCCACCACCAGCCTG